GTGTTTCTCTGAATTGGATCTAGCATCTGTCATCCATGCTTTTGCAATGCTGATGACAGACATTGGCCATGCACCATGTGGAGGAGCCTCCTTCTGCCTCTGCTGCCCAGCAGCTGCTATGCACTGGTGTGCTCCCTCTGTGACCAGAAGTAGCCCAAAGTCACCAAAGCCAGTAGCCGCAATGGCATTTCCCATCAAGAATTTGTCCAATCCCCCTTTGGAGCCATTCAAATTGGTGTCAACTTAGTTTTTGCGTCGTTTAACTGTGTGCACTGTGAAGAAGGATGTCCTTTTATCTGGTCCAAATCTGCCACCAATCCATTCCATGGGGTGTTGCTAGGCTCTAGAATTATGGGGGCGGGAGAAAAAGTCACCCTCTCCACTTTCTCCACACCAGGCATAATTTTGTGCCCCTCTTCATGTCTTCCCTTATTTGTCTTTTTTCCAAGCTAATCAATCCCAGCTGTTGAAACTATTCCTCCCAGGGGAGCTGCTCCCACCCCTTGATCATCTTAGACGCCCTTCTCCTCACCTTTTCCAGCTCAATAATGTCCTTTTTCAGGTAAGGCAACCAGAACTGCACACGATATGCTAAGTGCAATCACTTCCAAGTTTTGTTTAAGGAGAGAACAATCTTGGCAGTTTGTTCATTTCCTAATAATTCCTAACATGGAATTTGGTTGTTTTTCAGCAGTTGTACACTGTGTTGACATTCAGTTGTCCACCTCAACCCCTAGATCCTTTTCCTGCTTCATCACGGCTAGTTAGATCCCATCAGCTTATGCCTGAAGCTGGGGTTTTTTGCTCCAACCTGCAACTGCTCCTCCAGAGGCCTCCAGATCTGGAGGCAGAAGAAGCCAGTGGAAGGAGCCACTGTCAGTGTACCTACTTGTGCTTCACCAAGCTGGAACTGGCATCTCCTCCCCTCCCATAGGCCACCTGAAGACATTGCCCAGAGACCAGCAGGGGGAGACGTGAACAGCCATAAATGCTGCCTCTGTAAATGATTATTGTTTTAATAACCTGTTAGTGTTCCTGCTGACTTAAGGCAGTCTTGTTGCTGTCCAGACAGCAAAATGAAAATACTTAAAATAAGTATGACAGGTGGTCCCCAAGATGTAGGGCCTTTCTGGTGGTGCCTCTCCAGTTATGGAGTCATCTCTGCACCAAGATTCACTGGGCAATTTCCCTCGTGCCTTTCAGGCAGCAGTTGAAAGCCTTTTATTGCATGTTATTTCCTGCATTTGCTCTCTGTTTTGTTTTGTCTATGTTTTAACTTGATTTTGCATTTTTATTGTAAGTGCGTCAGAGAACCTTGTCATGACAGAAGAAATTTGATAAACAAAATGCATATAAATATGTGCCCACAAAACCAAAATAGCAATTTTTGCTTCATGTTCTAAATGTGACCCTTTAATAAAATCACATGGGGAGATGTCTTGATGCTTTTCCCCAAGGTAGACATCAGGTTTGCTTACATGTGACCTTGGCAACAGTGTGGCATTTTGAAGCACTGGTGACATTTATGTACCCAGTTGGATTCCAATAAGGAGGTTAATTTCCATAGATTAAATGCCAAGCTTCATACAGTGTGGAGTGATTTAATACTCTGATGTTGCCTGTTTGCAATTCACTAGCCAGTCCCTTTTATGACTAATTTGTAATTGCATCTGAAGGTTTTTTGTTTTTAAAGGCATGCAGGAAGGTCATGTTAGAAACTCTAGTTAGTACTGAAATACATTCGGAAGAGACAGATCTCCCAGATGGTAAGGCTGAGGGAAGCAGAAGTTCAAAATACTAGGTGAAAACTCACCTTTGTTAATTTCTGATTTGGGGGAAAAAACTGGCATAGGTCAACTCAGAAGTAAGTTCAGGTGGATCCCTATGGATGTGCTGTGTGGGCTCAGGAACTGGATATCTGTGGGAATACTTTCTTCTACATCAACTCGTCTAGCAGTTGATTTGGAACTCCCTTTTTACTCCATCTTTATGGTGTTAAGCAAATAAATATTAGAAGCAGGGCTGTTTCGGTGGTGGCCCCAAAATGTGGAACTCCCTTCCTAGATAGGAATGCTTGGTATTAAATAAGTATGCTTGTGGGTGTCAAGCAAAGGGCATCCTGTTAGTTTTACTTTGAATGCATGCCGATTTGCCCCCCCCCCCCCGCCATCTCTGTGCCATGGTACCTACTGCAGGGTAAAGCATATATGCTGAAGACATGTATATATTATATGGTACAAGCAGCATTTTCCAAAGGCCAAAGCATCATTCAGGGAGAGAATCACACAGTAACTCTGGCTCGGAAAGTGCACGATCACTGTATAATGCGTGTTGCTTAGCAGCAAACTTGACTAATGGCCAAAGTCAGATTTTTTAAAAAGAAAATGGAAAACACATAATGTTCTCCATCTTAGCATCATGATTTATTCTGATATGCTATTCAAAGCAAAGCGAAGACTCTATCAATTTCCAGATCTGACTCTGAAAAACTATAATTATGATTATTCCAAACTTATGAAAAATATCCATTTATTTCTAATTGTGTAAAATCTTATCCTTGCATCTCAGAAACTAAACCAAAGAAAACAGTTTCCTTCAAGCAATGTGAACCCTTTTCCAACCAGCTTTTTCAACCAGCATTTAACCTCAGGAACTTTAGTGTCCTTCCAAAGTTTTACCACACATAGCTTTGCTGCAACCAATAAATACGGGGTTAGAAGGATTGTTATCACATTTGTTTTTCTGAACTTTAGGTTCCAATCTGGGGGAGGATATCTGAGCATTCGCCTTCTTTGAGAGACCTTTCCAGAAGCTTCTGTGACTCATTTCCCAATTATCTGGAAACTATGTAAAGAAGGTCAGTTTTTTTGGGGTGATGTAGAGCCAGATTTTCAAATAAAGTGTTTGTGGGCTCCAGGAAGTGGCTCAGCATGTGAGTCACTTTTCCATAAGTAAAAGAAATACAACCAACGGCTGTCACCGCTGGTTCCGCTTCTGCCACTCATCCAGATAACGGAGTCACAAAGTATCCTGGAATTTTTGAAAAGTGGTTGAAGTACGGCATCATTTCCCCTCCCGAAAAACATCAGATGGCTATTTGGGGAGGGCGTGTGTCTCATTTTAAGGACAAAAAGTTGCATTTCCAGAAGCAGTTCTTGGATTTTGGTTTTCATTTCCATTGTCCTTTTGCTTCTACCAATATGGGAAGGATTTGAGAGAACAGGATATCAAAGGGAATACAACAAGCTGCTTTAATGTATCTTCCTCTCCCTCAGAGAACTTTGAGACTGACCTGTCAAGAAAGATTACAGCATCTGAGACAATTTCATTTATAGAAAAGGCTGGTGAGGGGAGACATAGTAGAGGTATGAAATGCTGTTTTCCCTCTTGTGAGGAAGCAAAGGTGGCTCACAGCATTGCTCTTCATTTCATCCTCACAACAACCCTGTGAGATAGGTTAGACTGGGAACTAGTGACTGGCCCAATGGTGCCCGTGACCTTCATGGGTTGGGATGAAACCTAGTGGAATCCGTCCCTCTAGTGTTGGCAGATGACCTCTCATGCTTGGCTTGGTCTTGGAAAGCGAGCCAAGCCAAGCGGAAGTTTGCACACACTTACGGAATGAGTGTGTGGAAACTTTGCGCACACTTATGGAATACAACTTACATCAGGGACAGCAGCACAAGTGGCTGCTGCAGGTGTGCGGAAGTGGGAAGCTGACTGAGCAACACACGGAGCTCAGTGAATGCTGGGCAGGCTTCCCAGGAACTCTGTACAGGTCCCCTGCAAAGCAGAACAGAGTCTGTGGAGCCAACTCCATGGAATCCGAAGAATTCCTACCCCCTAAAGTGGATTCCCCACACATTCCTAGTGTGAAATAGCACCGGGGTCTCCTGAGCCCCAGCCCATTCATCATAACCAAAGCCTAGACTGAGGGACAGACTACATGTTACATGAACAGTCTGAGCTCCGGACCCTTCTAAGATCAAGAAAATTATAGAATAGTAGAGTGGGAAGGGGCCAATATGGCCACTGGGTCCAACTTGCTGCTTAGTGCAGGACTCTAAATAACGCGGAGGAGAAGCTAGGCCCTGACACAGTGCTGCTTCCAATGGCTGGGGAGGTCCTTGGGCTAGATGGCTTCTTTGGCCCTCCTCCTTGAGTAGGCTGTGGGCAGATTAGGTTGAGAGTCAGAGCCTGGCCCAAAGTCACCCAGTGAGCTTCCAGGCTGAGCAGGGACTAGAAATTGGCTCTCCCAGGTCCACACCATCTATCTTTGCAATGGCGACATCCAGAGAGCTTTTGTCAGGGGACACTTGCTGGAGTGTGGGCCCCCAGCAGGTGCCAATCAGGTACCTCGATGCTGGCCCTGGAATGTTGAATCTGTGATAGATTGAATGCATGGTGTCCGCAGAGCTGAGCCCCTGCTTTCAGTTTACTGTAAGCATGCAGGCGCATCCTCTGCACTGGGGCCACCAAGCCTTCTCACCCAGCCACGTCCCTCCAAATTCACCCCCAACAAGGCATTGGAACCCTTGCTAAATAAAAGAGACAAAAGCACCCCGCCGCTGCCAATTAGGTGGAGAAGAATTTCGCTGGGAAGACACTGTTACCTGCAGTCCCTATCTGGGTTGGGGCCTCACCCCCTACAATGAAGTTAAAAAAGTGAGAAACCGATCGTACGCATTGTCGTTCAGCCCTCTTTGGTTTCCCATTCTTTAAGAGGAAGAACAGCACTTGGGTTCTATAACAGTGAGAAAATACCTGCATATTATATACTGCCGGTTTTAATAAAAGAGTATGAAACCACACTTAACTTTGTAATTAACTTTATCCTAATGCACTGCTGAAATGATATACAAATTGGTTCATAATATCAGTGTTTTCCTATCTGTTAGGAGCTTCCAAAACACATTTGGGGGGGGGGGGGGAGAGAGAGAGAGAGAGAGAGAGAGAGAGAGAGAGAGAGAGAGAGAGAGATTTGGCACATTTTCTTAAAATCAATCAGTGGGTTCATTTGGCCATTTCAGGTCTTTGTAAAAGGCCCCTTTGCAGCTTCTGATCTGATAATAGTGTTCCAGTTCTAGTCCGGGTACTGTTGATCTCCAGCCGATAAACCCTTGGGTCGTTTGAGGGACAGGTGGAGATGGACTGATCTGCAGTTGAAGGAGTACATCATTCTTTATTGAGCAATTTAGCTGGGCAATTCTGCCCTGCCTTTCTGTGCTAAAACCAAACTTAAGGCAGCTTAGACATTAAGTATATAAATCGCAGCAACATTACAATCAATCCCAAGAAAACCACACACTAAACAAACAGCAGTAAAAATAGCATCCTATTACCGCGTAGAAAGATAAAACACGGGACCATTAAAAATGTATCAGAAACAGCCAGACTGAAATGTATCATCAAAGATCCTGTCGAACAAATGCCTGCCAGAATAGAATGGACTGAAGAGCTTGTCCAAAAATGCACAAAGAGGGGTCAAATGAACCTCGCATGGGAAGTTGCTATACGGTTTAGACACTGCTCCAGAAAATGTTCTTTTTGGTTCCTCCAGGTGGAGCTTTTATCGCATGTTTGTCCAATTAATGTTTATGGGTGTCCGTCCGTCCAAAGGGCATCGTTTCCCATTGTAACCCTCCTATGCTTGCCCATGGCTTTCCCCCTTTTTTCCTCCCTCCACAAATGTTCAGGAGGGAAAGTGGAATGGCAGCACGATGTCATTTTATCTGCTCAGATCCATCCACCGAGAAGCATCCTTTCTAGGTGAGGGTTGGGCTGGGCAGCTCCATTTGCCAGATTAAGGATGCAGTCCAGAGGCTGCCCTCCTTTGAGCTAAAGGCTATTCCAACCAATGCAAAACCAGGTAGCTAGTAAGACCAAAAGAGCAATAAGAAACTCATTCTCCAAGTGGGGCTCCTCTGTAGCAAAATAGCACCACTCATGAAGTGGGAAATGGTGGCAGGTTTGTGGAGGCTCCGAGGTTTGCAAAACCACAGCAAGGCATTAGAACCTGCACCCCTCCCTGCCCTTAGATGAATGAGGACATGTGCAGCGGCCAGGTCTGACCAGTTGTTCAAAAACCAGGTGGAGGAAGGGAAATAGCTTCAGCTAGTGATGTGGCTTTCCAGAAAATGTTGCACTGGAATATTCGCAAAGGTTAATAGACATAGGATTTTAAAAAATTTGTATCAGAAAAAACTTTCTAAGGAACAATAGTTAATTTGGATAGGATCCTTTGGGTAGGAAATCTAGTTTGCATTGAAAGCTTTGTTGTTGATATGTGCTGTCAAATTGTCTCCTGCTTATGTCAACCCTACGGATGAAAGCCCTCCAAAATGTCCCATCCTTGACAACCCTGCTAAGTTCTTGTAAACTCAAGGCTGTGGCCTCCTTTATGGATTCAGTTCATCTCGTTTTGGTCTTCCTTTTCTTTTCCCTTCAATTTTCCCTAGCGTGATTGTCTTCTCCAGGGAGTCTTGCCTTCTCATGATATGCCTCAGTGTTGCAATTTTTTGGTATGACAGCCTCAGCGTTGCTATTTTTTCTTCTAGGAAAAGTTCTGGTTTGATTTGATCTGGGACCCACTGTCTCTTTCTTTGATCTCCTAGGCAGATCTCATTTAGCTTCTTTATTTTAAGAGGCATGGATCTGGTCACAACACCCAGAAATGGGTGTTGTAGAGCAGGAAAAAGTGCAGAAATGGACAACTAAAATGATCAAGGAGTTTGATCAACTCCCCTGTGAGGAAACAGCTGAAATTGATTAGTCTAGGGGAAAACAAAACAAAACCAACAGTGAGGAGATGCGATGGAGGTGTTCCAAATTATGCATGGGGTGAAGTAAATGAAGGAGGAGACATTTCTGTGTCTGTCTCATAATTCTAAAACTTGAAGTCATCTCATCAATCTGATTGGTCAGATAAAACAAAGCACTTCTTCACATTGTTCATAGCACATAATTAAACTGTGGGATTCACTACAACAAGATGTACTGAGGGACACCAATTTGGATGGCTTTAAAATTAATGGACTGGACAGATTTACAGAGGAGAAGGCGATTAATGCACATTAGCCCTGACAACAATATGCCATCTCCAGTATCAGAGGCCTGTGCACATCTGTTGCTGGGGAACATGGACAGGAGGATGTTGTTGCCCTCATGCCCTGCTTCTGGCTTTCTTGCGGGTGGGTGGGTGGCCACTGTGTGATCTGAATGCTGGGCAAGATGGTCCCTCAGTCTGACCCAGTGTGGTTTCTCTTGCGCTCTTACTTGTACCTAGCAAACACCAAAGCTTTAAAATATATCCCATGATCTTTTTGGACTGAAAGACCGTAAGTATCATATCTGAAATATTTGAGGGGAAGTAGAAGTGCACTTAATATAATTCAAGAGCATGTACTTCCCTTCGATTGCGTAAGAAAAAAGCATAAGCCCTTAAAACTCTTGGGAACAATAATTTTAGCAGCCTAAGAACTGTGTATAGCCTTAAAGTTCATGGGGCAACTTCAGTTTTTTCTGTCAATCTTTATTAATTCCATTTCACTCTGAGACATGTATGTATTCGTCTTCTCTCCCACAGTTGCGAAGGTTACTCACCTGAAAAAACATTAATCATAACCCAGGCACGGTCAGACTTCTCTAATGTTGCATTTGCTGTTACATGCATTCATTTTTACTAATGAATGTAAAAAAATGGAAGCCTTTCTATGGGAAAAATAATGCATTGAAAAATGTTTCACTTCACATCACTGAGTGGAGCTTGCTGGGAGAGAGCATTGTGGGCTGGAAGCACTTGATATTGCAACGCTTCGGTCTGGATTCAGGCCTATAGAACTGGCTGAAACAAATGTGTCCCTGCTGGTTCCGCTGGACCCCTTAGCTGCCTATGATGCCTTTGATCATGGCATTCTTATGGGACTTCTGTCTGAGATGGGAGTAGGGGCACTTGGGGGATTTACACATGCTTGATTATGCTATCACCATCATTCATCCGGTGACTAAATCTGCACAAAAATAGGGAAACAAAGTTTGCGAATTCCATGTGACATGGGAAAGTTGGTCTGCTGCAGAAATCTTCAGAGTAAACTTTGAGAAATCCATTCTCGCTTGAGTCTGTTGCAGATTCTTCCAACTCTCTACTCCTAAGGCTTAGTTACTGGCAGTGAAAGCTTTTAGTGAAAATATGATGGCATTTTTTGTGCTCCTCCTTTTGCCTTTGCTTCTACCCTTTACTGGACTGCAGTGCCTGGGAGCGTCTCTGAAGCTGAATTTGGCTTTGGGCTGAAAGACGGCCCTTACTCTGGTTGCTACGCTGGTTGAAAAACAATAATATTAGAACACTGTTATTAAGCAAAGTTTATTTATATTGTGGGAGGAAGAATTCTAAGGATGCAAATACGAAAGGTTAGTTGTATGCAAGATGCCTTTTGCCTGAATAATCATTAATCCCTTCCAAATTTACTAGAAATGAAACCGGTTAATCAGTAACTCATTCAGCTGGGGGAAGCCGAAGCCCCTTCTTCCCCTTGGCTGCTGTGCTTACTTTGGCTATTCTGCCTCCACAAGGCATGCTGGAATTCCTCTCTAAGCATCAGTTTAACATCTGGGGAGTTATTCAGTGAAGAAATAGGGAGAAAGCCATGTTTCTGGTTTGTTCTGTTGCCAGAGCCCCTACCCTTTGTTCCCTCGCCAAGAATGGAAAATGTTTCTGATATCTAGGCAAGCATTTCCTTTGAAATGATCCCCTCCTCTTTCTTGTCTTTCCCCCTTTTTCCTTTTACATCGCCACACGTGCCACCCACAGAGCTGAACAATGGAGACCGCTATGATATTGTGCTTCTTCGCTGCATTACACAGAGGGAGTGGAAAGGAGGGTGGGTTAAGAATTTCTTGCCTAACCCATTTGAGGAATGGATATGTGACTTGTTCTTCCTCTGGGAGAGAACAAATCATGATCTAAAGCCACAGGAGTTTAAAGGCATAAATATGGTCCCTTCACTAGTCCCCAAACTAACTTTTTCTTTTGATGGGCAAGTCACATCTTGCAAGCAGTACACAGACCAAGTTTAATTTCAGGTTTCCATATTTTACAAATCAACAATCTAGATGTGAGTTAAAGGAGAATGGTTGTATGCTGAAGTGTGGATAGATGGCGATGTCCATCTCAGCTGATAACACAAATGAGCTATTCATGTTCTCTGGTCCTGTAAATGGGGCAATTTTATAGTACAATTCTAACAGGCTTACTTAGAAGTAAGAACAATAGCATTCAATGGATGTGCATTGCCAATAACTCCTCAAGTGCCCAGGGTCTAATAATAAAGTTGGTGTAATGTAGTAGTGAGAACTTTACATAGATGTAGCCCATCCTTTTTGTTAGTAGAGAAGTGGTGTACAAAATTCAAAAAACCAACCAAAATAAAAGGCAAATTAAAATGCCTAAAATGCAATTGCATTTCAATTGCTGTTTTAATGCCTTTTGTATACTGCACTGTGATTTGATAATGAAGGACAGTATATGAGTTTTAATAACTAAATATATCAATATATGTGTGGCTGGACATGGCTAAGGCATTACATACAAAAACTAAACATATGTGAAACTGTCCCTTGCACAGCATTTGAAAAAGAAAATCCTGGATACATGCAGCCGTGCTCTTTTCCCAAAGTTACATTTTTTTTTCTGAAACCACAACCTTAATTAGAATGTGTGTATTTTTATGGGGATGAATAAAATTGTGCTATAGCCCATGGCACCCTCCATGGTCTCCAGCTGGTCACCCTTGGCCTAGAGAAACACTTTGTCTGGACTTACCTGAACATAAGCAGAGCCCATGCCACACCAGACCAGCATTCTGTACACACAGTGGCAAACCAGCTGCCCACAGCAATCCTCAAGCAGGATGGGTGCAAGACCTCCTCTTGCCCAAGCTCCTCAGCAACTGGTGCACGCAGGCATGCCTGCTCTGGGAGCGCATAGCCGACAAGGCTAGAAGCTCAACCTGTTCTGGCTGTGTTTAGTCCATTAGACGAGGATCAGCATGGTCTTTTAAGGACCACAAGTTTCAGTGCTGGTTGGTGTGACACCCTTATGAAAAAGAAGTGGGACATGCAAGATGTAAAGATCTCATGAAAGCAGCCTTTGTGTGCTGGTGAAACACAAGATAGTTCCTGACTGTAGAGATGAGATAACCTGGTGAGGTACTTTCATAAGGCCCTACTGCAAAACCGCTGGATTGCAAGACCAATGAAACCGTCATTTAACAGAACACCCAAAGGATGCTCCTTGGGTTCAGCACACCTTTTATAGTTGCTCTCAAGATGCTGATCTTTATTTGAAGGCCTTCTATGGCAAAGCAACTGAGTGGGAATCTTTCGGTGGCCTATCAAAGGCACTGCTGTTATCTTTTAAACTCATATGCTGCCATGCTGCTATTGTCTTACCTTAATATATTTTTCCACTGGTGTCACAGGTCGGATTTGTAAATGTTCTGGAAGTGGGATTTTAGGCTTAGCAGGTTGTTTCTTTTCATCTTTCATCAACTAAAAATAGAGGAACATAATAAAATTAATTGGCACTTCAGGCTGAACCGCGCATTGTGATAACATTGTAATAGCTCATATCTATCTAGATATTTATACTGTTTCCATCATAGCAGTACTTGATGACCTTGTTCTTGGCATGCAATACATAGCTATTTGTTATACAGCTTTGGATGCTTTTGAAGTTCACCTTCCATACAGAGAATTCATTCTCATTTTAAGGGTAAGAACTGGATCTGGAGCCTGGATCAGTTTCCACAACACATGGCGGTAAATTTACACAATAGGTGTCTTTCAGAAGGAAGCCAGTGTGGCATAGTGTTGGCCTGGGTCTCAGGCGATCCGGGTTCTAGTCCCCACTTGCTTGTGAAGCTTCCTAGGTCACTTTGGCTTGTCACTGACTCATAGCTTAACTACCTCACAGGGTTGTTGTTGTGTGGGTTAATAGAGAGGCAGAGGAGGATTGTGTAAGCACAATCTGGGTTTCTTGCCAGAAAAAAGGTGAGATATCAATATCAATACATAAACAAGTCCTGAGTTAAATGGGGCTCATTCCCATGTTTGTGCATATAGGATTGCAACCTAAAGAACTGGGAAACAGGCCTGTTTAGTCTATCATACATATTTGGAAGAAAGTGCATAATACAGAGGAGTATAACAAGGGATGTTTAATATTAGGTACAAACACTGTTATGTGCACAAGGCAAGGAAAGCATTATTCCAGGAAACTGGAGGACTGGAATTGCTACAATGAGCCACACGAAGCAGGCACTTTCACCTGCATGAACCCCCACCCCTCAGCAACTGTCTCCAGCAGACCAGGACATTATTCTCGTAATTGTAAATGTGTCCTTACCTATGCAGGTGACTTGGCTTCCCACTCTTACCTGTGCAGGGGAGTCCTGAGGGAACAGTTCAGTCATTCTCAAACCTGGTGCCCTCCAGGTGTGTTGGACACAACTCCCAGAATTCATGGCCATAAGCCATGCTGCCTGGGGACTGTTGGAGCTGTAGTTCCAAACAAGCAGAAAGCACCAGCTTGAGAAAAGCTGGAATAAGTTGCTGACTTGTTCCCGGCATTGCTGGATGTGCTCTGCAGCAGGGGTGTACGGAAGGTAAATCTCCAGGGACTTGGCCATCAACTCCCATACGCCCTGCCAGTGTGCCCAAATGACAGGAATGCTGGGAGCTGAAGTCCAGGCCATCCGGAAAATGGTTTTCTGTCTCTTGCTCTGCAATGGTACACCTGCTGCTTTTTTAAAAGTGGAGCCAAGGAACACCGAAAGTTTCCTTCTGTTGTATCAGACCCGTTGTCCATGTGTTTTGATACTGTCTGCCCAGATGAACTGCAGTGCTTTAGTCAGGCATCTTTTGAGGTTTTACCTGGAAGTGCTGGCAGGTGACATGAAAAACAGGAGTTCGACTGCTGAGCTTCTTTCAGCATAGAGCTGAAATTTTGCAGCTGCCACCTTACAAGTTTCTAAACAGAAACACTTGTGATATTTTTCATGGCGCTAAAGTTCCCTTTCATTTCCAGAACAAATAAGTGATTGTCCCAACCACTTTCAGGTCTGTTTTTTAAGGAATGGAAGGTAGAATATTTGATGATGATGATGATGATGATGATGATGATGATGATGATGATGATAATGATAATAATAATAAGGGGGCTGCTATTCAATAAAGGCCATGAGATGAGATTTAGAACAGAAACAAATCTGTTCTCTGTGTATAAATGTTGCTCAGAATGTGTTCTTACCTCTTCAGCTGGTGTTAGTAGAAACCCCCATCGCTTGGGCCATCTCCGTGCGGCTTCTTGTTCTGTTTCAATGTGATCCTTCCTGATACAGAGAGGAAAAACACACACAACCATACCAGACTTTTGAAGGTAGTGGGGCTTTTTAAGATAAGCTGTACAACCTGCTGTTTCTACTTCTGGTTCCATTACAGAATTAAGATCAGAGCTTTATGTGATTTATATTCCCTTCTTGTCTTGCTGCTATATATCCTCCAGCTGGCACTGTGGGATAAAAGAATAATGCAACTAGGCTAGTGGGGACCTGCACTTTGTTTCACGATGGCATTTAAAAGTGGCATTTCCCTGCTCCAAAACAGCCTGTGAAAATATTCTTGAAAGCGGAAGGGAAACTGGAGGGTTGTGACATTATCTGAAGCAGCTGCAAACAACTGTGTATGAGAAAAGATAAGGATACGATGAAAGCCTCACCTAGAAAGTTGCCAGCGCTGGGGCCCCAACAGGCACCAGGGCACCTGTGAGCACCTCCCTGCATACTCATTAGTCTTCCATCTTTTATATTATTTTTTTAAATATTTTTTAATTTTTTTAAAGATGGGTTTATTTATTTTCACTGGAAGGTGAGTATAAAGCAAAGCTAGGTGCTGCCCTCATGCATAATATTTGTTTGGGTTCCAAAGCAGTTTGTGTGTTTCAGAGCACAGCTTCCCATGTTCTTGGGCAAGCTATTCCTCTTTAAGCCTCACCAACTTACATTCTGCGAAATGGATGCCCTGTGACTGCTTATCTCCATCATGGCACTCATTTAATGAATGGGACCCCCTCCCAGAGAAATCATTTTGTGAGAGTGCCCCTGACCTCATCTCCGTATTCCAAATGCCCCCACCAATGCAAATTCAGGTTCCTTGGAGTCTTACAAAGACCCTCCTGATTCCTGCTTTAAAAGATCCACCAGCCCAACTTTTCTTTGAAACAAATGGGGCTTGTGTTAACTGTTGCAGCAATGCTTTTGCATACAGTTAGGCCTTTGCATAATTGTCAGTCTGTGTTTTACATTTTTATTTCCCTCTGCCTTCACTCCTCCCCCTCTCCAACCATCTGCTGACTGCAGATAAACACTTCATGCATCTGATGGAGTGGACTGTCGGTAGTCCATGGGGGTTTATACCATCAAATAATAGAAATAAATCTTTTAGGGTGCTCCAGGATTTTCTGCTGTTGTTGATTGTTGCAACAAGCCAACAGAACTTCTCTGGAAATGGTTAAGGATTGGAGCTGCTGAAAATGAAAGCATTGAAGAGCCTCAAAATGAAAACTTGGCACTTATTTAGGAAGGAGGGCTTTCTGGGGGAAACTGTACCATGAAGGAGAAAAACCAATACCTGAACTTAAGGGAAGGCCCATAGTTTTGCAAGCCTTACCTCAGCACTTGCAGTTAAAGAAAGCATCAGGGATAAGGAGGGAATAGAAATGGGGAACCATCTCTGCCTTAAGAACCCTCACCCGGCAGAGTGGGCTCAATTGGCCTTGAGGGAAAGATTGTGTGAGCTGGTCTAAGGCGAAGTTCCTCATGTAGGCCATACCTGGCTGGCCAGCAATAGGCATGGGCCAACTAGTCAGGTCCCAAGCATCTACACAACAATAGAGAGAGCTCCCAATGCAGCTGCACAGCAACAGAGAGTCACAAACAGCCAGTGACTGAACAATCTTCTGCCTAAAAGCCTTCATCATGGCCCTAAGGTGACCCAGCCTCCCAGGTACATGTGGAGCCCACATGGATTCAGATGTGCCATTCAGGAGTCCTAGCAGGACTTTCAACCCAATAAGCTACTGTCTTTGCTACATGGTCACCCAGGGTGTAAAAGAGAGTCCTGCCACGTGCTCCTGGTCGACTGCCTCTTTGTTGTGATTGAACTTATTCTTGAGAATAAAAACTTAGCTTCAGTTGTGCTTTTCAGGGCAGAGTGCATCAAGGTCCTTGACCCCTTGTGTCCAGAACTAACACCCCACGCAGAGCTGAGCAATGAGGTTTCCTACAAATGTTCCAGGGAATATGGAAATGAGCTGAATACAGAACAATACCAGGCAACTGATTGGCATGTTGCCGTCTCTCGCCATGGATTTCGCACAGCGACTCCTGTGGTCTGGATAGAAGTGGTCCTGATCCCTTCCCATTTCCTTCTACTTGCAGTTTCTTGGAGCAATTAGTGCTCTCAGTGGGGGATGAACATCTGCACCTTCATCAGATGCATTAAGGGGGACAAGATAACCTGCAGCCGAAAGCAACGCATGAGCAGTCCTTCTCCTGTGGGAATCCTAGGAAAAGTATTTCAGTCAGGGCCTGCGATCTCTAGCAGGGAATCCTCAGCATCCAAGTTCTTAGGATTAGTTAATAGTTTAACCAGAATGAAACCAAGTTTGCCAACAAGCTTTTCTACAGGAGTAGCTAAACCTGGCACCTCACTGAGGCTTCCTCTTCTATTTTCTTTCTGGGACGATTAGAGTGTTCTTCACATAAGAGTTCCCCCAACCCCCTGCATGGCACTCTTCCTCTCTGCCTTTCTATATTCTCCAGTAGGTTCCATTGCACCATACAGGGTGCTGGTATTGTGGCATAGGGTGGAATTACGAATTTATACTAAGCTTCTGTAGCTAATTGTGCTAATAATGTCTGTGAAAATATTACGATTTCCTCACTCTTAACCCCAGCAAAAATGGCTGCAAAACAGGGGAGAGGCCCTGGATGATCATGTAAAATTACCTACTGAAATGAGTGACATAGTCAAAAATGCTGTTTAGCATTCTTACCCACCAAAATTTAGGTGGTGAATCACCTATCAATAGGGCCTCAGTAGTTGAATGGCATATCTGAGCAGGCTTGTATATGGAAAGCGGAGTCTAAGATCTGTTTTTATATTGTAGTTTTACATTTTTATAAATGTTATGTTTAAAACTCCCATATTCTCAATGATATTTTATGTATCATTGTGTTGCTATATTTTATGGTTTCAAGGTTGTGAAATGCCCAGAGAGTCTCAACTATTGGGCAGAACGTAAATTTAATAAATGAAAATGAAAAATGAAAAAAGACCCACAACCTTCCAACAGCGAGGCATCATGAGTGCACACAAAATGCCTTGTTTGGCTATCCCCGCATACGAAATACGAAAGCACCCTTGCAAAATGACAATTCTCAGAGTTCTTTGTCAGTTAAATAGGCTTGTAGTGTTAGCAGGGTCTGCAGGAAAAGGTTGCAGCAGATTCCAGCTGTTCCGTCCTCTCTGCCCACTGATCCTGAATAATCAGTCAACATTCTATGGCCACTGAGCACATTCAGTCCCCTTTGGGCTGTTTTATGTTTCCCCACCTGAAACTGTTTTGTACTTCTGGAAAAACCGGGATGCTTTCTTGTATGTGTGCAGTGTGTTTATCTTCACAAGGTCAGCACACGGAGGCTGAGCACTGAAAAATGAGGGAACAATTCCATGTTTCAAAGGAGAACCTATCCACACTTACAAATGTCTGAGCCACAGAATATCCACGCAACATAAAGTATCAAGGAATTCTTCACACTGTAGTCATGGCATTGAAAATTCTATGAGATATTCCTAGTCCCCATCACAAAACTGCAGGTCCAAAGGGAGAAGGAATGGCTGTAAAATGTTCACATTATAATATTTCACTTTCTTTTTCATCTGATTCAGAGGACAGTCTGGGTGTCCTAAATCAGTGCTTGAGGTAATGGACTGGATGGGGGCTAATAAACCAAAACAGAAACCAAACAGGGAAAGGAAAATCTGTCTTGCACCCTTTTGTGGCAGAGGTGCACAATGCACTTCCACGCACAGGGACACACTGCACGCTGGGTCCTTGCAATATTTATATGAGCCCTCCCTCCGTGCAAAGTCGTCTCCACCGATCAGAATGATGCATTTTGTTAGCTGAAGGAATAATGAACAAGTTGGCTTATTCCACTGAGTAAGAATAAGCCAACTGATTCCTTCTCAAGGACTAACCCCCCCCCCCACAGCCCAACAACCCTGCAGCCAAACTCTGCAGCAATTCACACGTTATTTACTCTAAAGTAATTATATTAAGCCAGTGTTCGGGAATCAGTGGCTGGTGGATTGTAACCTTGTCTTTGTAAGTTGTTAACAGCCTGACTCGCAATCCAGTTAAGATGAAGTACTTGGAGTGAAACCGGTGCCTTTAATGTACTTTGATTTCACTGAGCTGTGGACTGCACTGCAGAAGTAGCTTCGACTGCAGTTTTAAGGGTATTGTTGTGAAATAATTCAGATATCAACAGAATGTAATGCCTTGCTCTCCTCTTGCTTGGTCCCTGTTAGGGAAAAAAAAAAAAGTCCTTTCCTGCCTTTCACACTTGAGGAAGCATAAAGGATGTAGAACAAATAGAAGAAGGCAATTACTAAATGGTTACTGCTCATCATCAAAGGCATCATGGAAACATGATCATTTATTCTGGGGATAACTACCCCTTAATCTGCGTCACCCAAGTTTTCATGGTAAGCACCAGTTCCCAGACTATAAAAAATTGGGATTCTAGTCTTTTTGCTCTAAGAAAGCGTTGATTCATTCAAAGCTCGCTTCAGTGTGTATGTGGGTTTAATAGCTATTGTTTTTGCTAGCAACTTTCTTATGAATGGAGTGGGATGGGTAAGCTCCACTAATGGTTGTAGTCAACAGGGACATTCAGGCTTTCCTGAAATATCAGGGGCAGTATTATTATTATTATTATTATTATTATTATTATTATTACATTGCATTTCTACCTCACCCTTTTTCCTCTTGTGAGGAACCCACCGTGGCTTACCTAGGTCTTCTGCACTCCAGTTTTAACCTTGCAACAACACCCCTATGAAGTAGGTTAGGCTGAGAGGGAATGGATGGCGCAAAGCTGAATGTGGACTAGAACCCGGATCTCCCAGGGCCCCAGCCCAGTGCTCCAGCCACCGCACCATGCTGGATGATGATGATGATGATGATGATGATGGTGGTGGTGGTGATGATGGTATTGGTGATGGGGCAGTCCGCTACAACGTAAGGCAGAAAAAGGCCTCCAGATGCCAACATGTGGGGAGTTGCTGTCCCCTTTTGTCTCTCGGCTCATACAGGATCCCAGACTCAGCTTCATGTATACACCTCCCAATAGCTAAAACTCTTTGAGCAGTTCACACCCATTCACAAAATCGTAAAGCACAGATGCCAGGAAATAAAATACAGCAACATCTATAAAATGTAAGGTAGGTTAAATGGATTTGTTTCAAAACAAAACCAAAGCACTGGATGGTTACTCCAGCACTGCACTTCAGCTCCCGTTTCTCACAGCCAGCATGGCCAGATCAGGGATGCTGGGAGTTGTCATCTGAAACATGTGGAAGGCAACCTGGCTGGGGGAAGATGATTTAGAAAAAGGGTGGAGAGGGGGAAAGATAACATCTTTCCCATGTATCTACAACGCAGTGGGGATTCCCAGCCTTTTTGGACTTGTGGGCGTATTTGCAATTTGAGAAACTGTTGCGGGCACCTCCACAGAATGGCTCCCATGGAGGATGTAGCTGCTCACATAACAGCTGCCATGGAGGCTTAGGAAGTCAAAGTGAGCTCAGAAGGAATAGAAAGAAATAGAGAAACTCGAGGCTGGGAGGGAGAAGGTAGGCAGGAGAGAAAAAAGTCTGTCCTAACATTTTCCAAAGCTTTTCTTAAATCACTTTTTAAGGGGCCAGGGAGAGGAGAGCTTCACAGATGCTGCCCTCCAAGCGCCATGCTGGGAACCCCTGTTGGAGCCGGGGGTCAGACTAGACGGCCCAGGAGGGCCCTTCTGACTTGCTGTATGCTTCTAGTATTCCCAGGTTGCTTCCATATGGAGGGCTGACAATTTTATCGTGATCCAGACATCCTTGCTTTCCAGTCATAGCCTTCTGTGGTCCTGCACCACTTCTTCTATCGTTTTTCTTATTGAACAAAATCCTTTAAGAAAAAACAGAATCACTACACAAGCTTCTGACTAACAGCACTAGAAGTCCTCCATTTGGAGGCACCATCTTCATCTTCATGTGTCTATTCTGTACGAATCTGTTTGTCCCGAAGGCAAAAAGGGGACTGGCTTTGCCCCAACATGGACTGCTGGAAATGAAAGGCATTTATGGTCAAAAGAAGTCCTCATCTTGCCCAAATTCTTGAGAAAAACACTTGTACCCATACCCTGCATTCAAAGGAAATGATGTGGAGAAAAAAATACAGATAGCTCCTACCAATGTAGAGAGCATCAGAGTGCCCTCAAGTTGCCCATGATATATGGGGTGAAGACCCCAGAACTTTTCAGAAACTGAGAAGAGTGCATGTGTGAATATTGTGGGCTAAAAACTGATGGGCAGTAACTGTGACCTGCCTTTGGTAATTCTGGTACTGCTCTCAGCAGAACCCTTCTAGACTTCCTGATTAGGCAGAAAGAAACAAAGATACTAAACAAGGAATAGGATGGAAAAATGCCTCTTAGCACAACTCAGATGAGAGAACTTTCCTAGTACTACCAGGAGATGATGGGAGATTGAACCGTGCAAACCATGCGTTCTACCACCTGTGGGGGCTCCATAATCCAAGGTATATGAGGAGCACAGGAGGGGGAAGAAAGCTAGAAGGCTAGAATTCAGTATATACTCGGTATAAGTTCAGCATTTCAGCAAAGCATTTGGGATGGGTTGGGGGAGCAAATCACATTTGGGGAGAAGTTTCCATAAAGTAAAGACAGGGTATGATTGGAAGTGACACTAGATCTGCCTTCCCCAGTCTGGCACCATCCAACTATTTTTGCAGTGATCTCCCCCCACCCCCACCAGCTGGATGGGGCTGATGAGAACTGAAGTCCATAAATCTCAAAAGCAGCTGGTGGGGAAGGCTGAAATGAGAGGCTTGCCTATTCCAGAACATCCCCCGTGTCCCTGGCTATGCAGAAAGGGCTGTGCAAAAGGCGATCCCCAGATCTGTTGGACTTCAGCTCCCACCAGCTTGTACCACCATGGCTTTGCAAGAGCTTGTATTTGGGCAATGGTGGTCACGGCAGGATTCAGGAAAGGTTCAGGCTGGCTGGCTGGAACAAGTGCCCAAAGCAACCTCGGCATGAGATGCGCTTGACTGGGAATGGATCACAAGGAGACCAAGAGTAGCTGTCAGGACAGGCGAAGGAAGGAGTTTACCAGATCTGAGCTTCAGCCACGAAGTTGAGCTTGTTTTTCTGTGACATTCCAGGCACCTCTCCAAGTGAATGTCCCCTGGTGGGCAGGTAGAGGACAGGTACTCCCTGAAGCTGGGCTCTGGAGGGCGGTCAGGTAGGCCAAACCTGGCCAGCTCTGAGCCAGCCCTCCCGATGTGCTGCTGTTGCCACAGCCGCAGGTTGCTAGGCGATCACTGAGGAATGCAGTGGGAGGGAGGAGGAGGACAAGACTGGGAGCCCTGCATGGGCCTGCCTGCCAGGGCATCCGTCTTTCAAGACAGCTAAGGGGAAACAGGCAGAGAAGGGAAGGCATGACTGAGGTGTACAAAATTACGCATGGTATGAGAAAGTGGAGAGGGAGAGCTCTTTCTCCCTCTCTCATGATCCTAGAAGTCAAAGGGATCATCCCATGAAGCTGACAGGTGGGAGATTCAGGGCAGAGAAAAGAAAGGACTTCACATGTTTGGTAGTACAATGATGGAATTCACCTCCGCCAGATGTCATGACGTTTTGGGTGGCCTTAGAAGAGGGAGTTGGCAAATTCATGGAGGATAAAGCTATAAGTGGCTACTACTTATGATGGCCTTTGGCTACCTGCAGTATCAGTGGCAATACTCCACTGTACACCAGTTGCTGGGGAACATGGGTGGAAGGGTGCTGTGGCACTCCTGTCCTGCATGGCTCTTCTTACATTCTTAAGTACCTTAAAGAGTTACAAAGGTATAATGCCATAGACTTTTGTGGGCTCCATTATAATATGCTAGTTAGTCTGGTTTTGCTTACTTTAACTGTCTGGAACTGGTTCTTTTAAAAAAACAAAGAAAGTCCATGGGGTGGGGAATCCAAAATTTATTATTTAATCTGTTTATTAGGAACCACCCAAATCGGCCATTACTGCCAGCACTGTAGCAGATACGACTCAAGCATCTAGTGGACTCATCGCCAACCCTCTGTGGAGGAAAGCATGGTACCTTTTTCTACTTCATTCTCCCCGAGCTCGGCATGATATTATTTTGTTATGTTTCCACTGAGGCTTGTATTTACAATCACTCTTGTTTATTCTCCAGGTATCTGTTAGCAGCTGATCAGGCCTTCATGGTTGGAATGATGGGCTGTCTTTAAGAAGAGCTCCTGTCAGTTTGTACCAACAGTTTCCTCAGTTTGGAAGAACCGTTCCTTGTTCACTGCTGTTCTGGGGTGCAACCTGAAGGTTTGGCCTTGCTTTCCCCCCATCCCATCAATCTACTTCATTTCATCTTATTTCATGCAGCTCATTTATTCATCAACCCCAATTATTAAGTGTAGCTTCCGTACTGATGCATTGCTTACTGTTTCTGCTAGATTTCAGTAAAGATGGTATTTTGAATCACACAGAAGTGGACCTCATGTGAACTTGGCTGCCTGGAAAGACACACAACCCCATGTGTGTGGAGGGCAGGACAACCCAGTGCTTCATGTGCCCCTGTCTTGCAGTGACTTAAAAGCAAAGAGATATCTGGGCGTTAAAGACACACTAGAAAAACACGACCTGTTCTATAATGCATTGTCATTTTTTATAAAAGTACACTGACTGGTGGTAAACAAACACATGTGGACACTGCCACTTGGGCTGTGTGATACTTCAGTGCCCATGTGCTTAAATCAGCCACCCAGAGAGCCATCCTGGCTAATGAGTGGGGTAGAAATTTAATAAATAAATGCATATGTACAAGAGGCACAATGTTTCCTCCATTCTCTCCTCATAAGCCAAATATTCAGCTTCAGAGATTATGGGAAAAATGGGTCAAAACTAGAAGAACAACTCATGAAAACATTTTTTTTTGTTAAAAGGTGTCTTCAAAACCTCTCCCAAAGCCAAAATAGGAACGGTCGTTTCATAGAATCATAGATTTGGAGGGGTCATTATAGGCCAGGGTTTATAGGCTCACATTATTTTTCACTCTAACCACGAGGTCCACCAACTTGAGCCAGGGGCAAAATAGTGGCTCAGAAAGGTGGAGATGAAAGTGAAGATCAAGCACATGTTTAGCTTAAGAGCTTACAGAACTGGAGTTCACACACAACGCTTTTCATACATGGTTCAGCTCTTTTTTTCTTCCATGACAGCTTGGTTACAATAGAGTTTGCCATAATTTATAAGGGAAAAAAAGCTTTTTGTTGTCACTCTATTAATCCATTATGACCTGCCAACTTTTGCCGAGTAGATCCTAATTTACGTTTTGCCCACGCCTGATGTTGGCCAACTAGTCTGATGCCTTTTCAGTTCAGGAAATCCAAAGCTTCAGCATTTCTGACAAATGGCCACCCAGCTTCAGCTTGAAAACCTCTTTGGTACTTAGTTCCATTGACAGACTTTTCTCACTGCTAAGATGTTTCTCCTCTGATGACTTTTTGTCCTTTTATCTTCAAGTTGCAAAATCTTCCCACTGAGACCTGAAAGGAAAACTCTTCAAGGGCATAGTTCTTTGGTCTCCTAACATTTTTCTGGGGGCTCATGAGATTATTCGGAACCTGACCTCCAAGCTCTGACAACCTCAGAGCTGGGATTCCAACTGGAGTGACCCTGCCTGGCATTCTTCTCAGTCAATGCAGAAAGACACATGCTGGTCGCCTCTCTGGAGCTGGAAATCAGCCCCAGAGAGGGCTAAAAGCGTGTGCTGAGGTGGACAGGGAGGAGAGCAAGTCGGTCCAATGGCTTATACCATATCCAAATGGCAGCCTCATCTCCTTCTTTCCCCCTCTGTGGCATTTCATCTAGACGTCAGATGAAATGCAGGGTGCGAGGCATGGGGAGGCGAGATTGCTGCATGCAAGCCTCATGCCCCGCGTTATTCAGAGGCCTGCATGCATCAAGGGGGAAGGACTCTGAATGGCACCCTAGGGCATGTAGTGCAGTGGTTGCAGTGGTCATAAGAAATCCCGGGTTCAATGGTCTTGCTCCTTGGCGTAGCTCAGCGGATAATTGTATGCACAAATAATTCTTTCTCAGCCCATTCTCACTAGCAATAGCCAAGTCCCTGGGCACGGTTTAGCCCAATCGTTACTGATAAGTGCACTGCCAAACTCCTGAACAAAGAGCAGCATTCAAATGTGACAAATAACAATAGCTAACAAAATGCTTTGGGGAGGAGGTATGGGTTGTGTGTTTTCCACTTATTCTAGATGATTTAGGAGAGCAAGGCTGAACATACTTCCTGGCTATATTTGAGAGTCTGAGAAAATATTTACAGCTTGCAAAAAGTTCACTGTGTTCTAGTATATTAATATTTTTGGCCTTCTGTCAACTTTCCAGTACATTTTTCCCTTCTTGCAGTGGCTTTATAAAACATTTCAACAAAAAACGGAGCCAACTGTCTCTTTTACTTAAATTGTCCCCCTCGCTTCCCTCCTCTTAAGAGCAGCTCTGTACTATGAACAGTGCTGTGAACTGCTTTTCATCATGGAGCATTATAGAAAAAGAAGACCATGAAGCATTGAAGGTAACTTACTAGTGGGCAAATTACACATTAAACAGCATCATTCCTTTCTGATTATTTCACCCTGCGATAACCTTAAAAAAATACCAGTGGCATTTTTCCTTGTAAACAGTTTGTGGAAGCTGTAAACAGGAAGTACATTTCTGAAATTCCTGTAATTTTGCATCTGCATGGACTTTGCCCTCTGTGCTTGTAACTGGGGTAGGAACTTGTTTAGGCATGTAATGTTGGCATGAAATTGCCACTGATTCACTGTAAATCTCTAAGCATGCTTACTCTAGTAAATCCTACCCGTTTCAATGGAATCCACACTCTACCATATGTGTTGACTTGCAGACTTTAAAGCTATAGTTTCAAAGTGGATCACATTCTTCTGGGATTAGAGACAGACGTGCTCCGAGGGCTTGGCACATTTATTGGTATTCTTTGATGTCTCAAGAGCTGACAGATTGCCATATCTGAAGCCAGGGACCAAACTTTCTCTTGAGGACGTGTGGTTGCTGATCCCCACCACCACTTTTGTTTGTATACTTGTAGTGTGATGCTATATGAAATGGGGAATGAAATAAGGTGAGCTTAGCCTTGTGCAATTCTATGTTTAAAGCTCAGATACCAGCTTGGCAAGCTCTCACCCACCTTTCTCCAAAGAGAAGTCCATCAGAAGGTTCTATCGTGACTTCCATATAAAAGGCACGAAATAATTTTAGTTAACAGCCTAAGAAAGACCCGAAGCCTGAGACAGTCACAGGAAACAACTCTGAACTGATGGATCTTTTCTTGCACTATATTCATATTCTGTATTTTGGTGAGAATCCCTGCTCAAACTGTAGACCTGTATTCAAGAGTAACAGGGAAGTTAAAGCCCTATTCCCAACATCCACATGTTAGGATAGGGATGCACAATGTTTTTGGCCTCCAGGGCCACGGCTGCATGTGTCATGGAGGTGGCACATATGTGTGCACCTGCACACTCCACTCATATCCCAGCAGGGACAATTCTTAGACTGCCAACAACAAAACGTGTTCTGTGTCACATCGTCAAGGTGCTGAAGCTCCCACCTGGATCCTCCTCCCCTGCCAAAAGGGAGTGAAGAAGCTCCAGGAAGGGCCCTGTGATCAGTGCTACAGCAGCCATGTGTCTCGTTAGAACATCTCCAGATCTTCTGAGGAACCTGGCAGGAACCTTTACGCACCACTTCTTAGGATGCTGCAGGAAAACCTGAAGATTAAGGCTTCGATGGGAAAAACTATGCAACCTATTCCTAGAGTGCTTTTCCATTTCCTCTCTTTCTGGGGGCAGCTGGGGGTCTGGGGGCCCTCAGAGAAGACCTCATGTTAGGATGTTGGCACCCTATCTTAGGCTACTTCTATGCAGTGTACATGTTAGGGCATCTGTACCCCATGTTAGGATGCTTGCTGTGCTATGTTTCTATGGGACATACTTGTAGATCTCCCCATGTTGTGCCATAGGATTGGTGAAAGCTTTCCCATAGTTTCTCAAAGGTGGTGGGGACAGGATGCTGGACTAGATAGACCTCTGGTTATCTTGCAGGG